TGAACTGTAAGCTCTTTCAGGTTGTGGTTTATTTCTGACTTATTCTGTAGCTCTTTCTGCCTTTACCATCGTGCATTACGTATGGTAGATGCTTAGTTAATATGTGTGGAGAGAAATAATCTGACCCCACAGCAACTCAGTCAAGTGGGTAGGGCAAGTAACGTTAGCCCCTTCTGAGAGGTCAGAAGACAGCCTCAAGGAGGTTAAGAGATTGCCTTAGGCCTGTTGCTTTGTGATGCCTGAACGCCTGCTGAAACACCAAGCCAATGTTTCCTTCACGTCACCACACTGCTTCTCAAAGTGGCTGTCCTCAAGCCAGCGGAACAGAAGACATAAATAGCGTATGAATTGTGTCCAGGTTGGAGATTTACATTTTCCAAACTCCAAGAATTAAAATATGTTATGAAGGTTCTTTTAAAAAGTATTCGTTTCTGTCATTTCTGAGGAAAGTAGTCATATAATAACCCATCTCTTGATTTTTTTTTAATATTTATTTTATTTATTTATTTATTTATTTTCCTTATTTTTTTGGCTGCGTCAGGTCTTGCGGCACACGGGATCTTCGTTGAGGCATGCAGGATCTTTCATTACGGTGTGTGGTCTCTTTGTTGCAGCACCCGGGCATCTCTCTGGTTGTGGCGTGAGGGTTCTCTCTCTCTAGTTGAGACGTGTGGGCTCCAGCGCGCATGGGCTCTGCAGTTTGCGGCATGCAGGCTCTCTCATTGAGACGCGTGAGCTCAGTAATAGTGGCGCATGGGCTTAGTTGCTGTACGGCCTGTGGGATCTTAGTTCCCTGACCAGGGATCGAATCCACATCCCCTGCATTGGAAGGTGGATTCTATACCACTAGACCACTGGGAAGGTCCCCCATCTCTTGGTTTTTAGAGGTAGGGGTGTGTGTGTGTGTGTGTGTGTGTGGTGTGTGTGTGTGTGTGTGTGTGTGTGTGTGTGTGTGTGTGTGTGTGTGTGTGTGTACACGTGTACGTAAGAGGAGGCGGAAAACAGAAAGGCAGTATTTAGTCAAGTTAGGAAAAGAATTAATTAAGGAAGCAGAGGGCAAACAGGAAGTCCTTAGCAAACTCCAGATCCTGCATTTAGAGCCACACCACTAGAAAGGAAAATGGTTTGTATATCTCCTGTCACTGGTTGCCACTTGCATGCAAGTGGCATGCAAGTTTGGAAGCATGCAAGTTTAGAAGGTTCTAGAAAACTTACCACTTTACTCTCTAACAACTGTCAATAATCTCTTTTCTTTCTTAGAAATCATGTTTGAAGCATTGTTTTTATTTCTTAGGTTTTATACGTATGTATATTCTAATAACACTTCATTTTTCTTCCTTCACCAGAAGAAGAAGAAGAGCAGGTGCCCACCGATGGGGGCACATCAGCAGAAGCCATGCAGGTTCCCCTGGAGGAAGATGATGAACTGGAAGAGGAGGAAATTATCAACGATGAGAACTTCTTGGGTAAGAGACCGCTGGACAGTCCGGAAGCTGAAGAAATGCCCACGGTGAAGCGGCCACGCCTGCTAAGCACTAAAGGGGACGCCCTGGACGTGGTGTTGCTGGAGGCTCGAGAGCCACTCAGCTCAATAAACCCCCAGAAGATCCCGCCAATGCTGTCCCCCGTCCACGTCCAGGACAGCACGGACCTAGCTCCTCCGTCACCAGAGCCGCCAATGTTAGCTCCAGTGGCAAAATCACAGCTGCCAACCGCAAAACCGTTGGAAGCAAGGTCGTTTACACCTAAAACAAAGACTAAAACCAGTTCTCCAGGACAGAAGACTAAATCACCCAAAACGACTCCATCACCAGCAATGGTCGGAAGTCCTATTCGGTCTCCAAAAACCATATCCAAAGAAAAGAAGTCTCCTGGACGTTCGAAGAGCCCCAAAAGCCCTAAGAGTCCCAAGGTCATCACTCACATTCCCCAAGTACCCATCAGACCCGACACCCCTAACAGGACTCCTTCAGCTACAATAAGTGAAAAAATTAGTAAAGAGACCATTCAGGTGAAACAAATACAAACAGCCCCCGATGCTGGGAGACTGAACCATGAGAATCAGCCGAAAAAGGCCATCGTGACTGATAAGACCATTGACGACTCTATTGACGCTGTGATTGCACGGGCTTGTGCCGAACGGGAGCCAGACCCTTTCGAGTTTTCTTCTGGGTCCGAGTCAGAAGGAGACATTTTTACCAGCCCTAAGAGGATTTCAGGTTCAGAATGTGCTACCCCAAAAGCTACCACTTCCTCCAGCAGCTTCCCCAAGTCCGGGTCCACCCCTCTCCCTCCTTCAGGCGGAGCTTCAAGTTCTGACAATTCCTGGACGATGGACGCATCCATCGACGAGGTGGTCCGGAAAGCCAAGATGGGGACCCCTCCCAGCGTGCCCCCCAGCTTCCCTTACATCTCCTCCCCTTCAGTCTCTCCTCCCACCCCTGAGCCACTGCACAAGGTATACGAGGAGAAACCCAAAGCGCCGGCGTCCACGGACGTCAAAAAGAAGCTGAAAAAGGAAATGAAGACGAAGATGAAAAAGAAAGAGAAGCAGAGAGATAAGGAGAGGGACAGGGACAAAAGCAAGGAGAGAAGCAAAGAGAAGGAGAAAGGGAAGGAGGCCAGCAAGGAAGCCAAGTATCCCTGGAAGGACTTTCTCAAAGACGAAGAGGCGGATCCCTACAAGTTTAAGATAAAAGAGTTTGAAGATGTGGATCCAAAAGCAAGACTGAAGGATGGAATGGTGAGAAGGGAAAAGGAGAAGCACAAAGACAAGAAGAAAGACAGAGAAAAGGGCAAAAAGGATAAAGAGAAGCGGGACAAAGAGAAAGCGAAAGAGAAGGGCCGAGAAGAGAAGCTGAAGGCTGCCCCAGCCCCCCTGGTCCTGCCCCCCAAGGACGTGGCGCTGCCCCTGTTCAGCCCCGCGGCGGCCGTGAGGATCCCGGCCATGCTGCCCTCCTTGACACCCATGCTTCCCGAGAAGCTGTTCGAAGAGAAAGAGAAGCCCAAGGAGAAGGAAAGGAAAAAGGACAGAAAGGAGAAGAAGAAAAAGAAAGAGCGAGAGAAGGAGAAGGAGAGGAAGGAGAGGGAGAGGCGAGAGCGGGAGAAGAGGGAGCGGGAGAGGCGCAGGCACGAAAGAGTAAGCGCTTTATCCCTGGGGGCCCTGTCTCATCCAGTTCTGTCGAAAGCGCAGGTAAACAAAGCCAGCAGTTGTCTTTTTCGGGTGTAAATCACCCACAGCTTAACTGGAAACATGTCTGTAATGCATTTACAAAATTTAATTTTAATTCTCGAACCCATATACTTGTCATCAATCCCCCCCCCATACACTGGAAAACGTTAAAAATTTATAGCCTAAGAGCAATCTAATCACAGACCATGAGCTCTCTGTTAACCACACTAATCTCTGGCAGTTTGAAAAGATCTGTAATCTTCAACAGTGAATATTTTTGTAATTATCAAGTCTGCAGCATACTAATTTGTACCCAAATATTAGATACCCGGAAAAGGCAGCACCCAGTTTTCTAAGAGCGGGTAAAACCATGGCGCTGTCCTAAGAGGACAGCAAGGCCCATGGAGTCCTTGCTCACTGACTCAGTTTTGTATGGTGAGCCATTTTTGCAAGTATTTAAGGTTATGCCTGTCTTCTACTTCCTGTAGCATCTCTTATCCTTCAATTTTCTGCTTTTTTTTTTTTTTTTTTTTTTTTTTTTTTTTTTCGTACTATTGCGATACACGGGCCTCTCACTGCTGTGGCCTCTCCCGCTGCGGAGCACAGGCTCCGGACGCGCAGGCCCAGCGGCCATGGCTCACGGGCCCAGCCGCTCTGTGACATGTGCGATCTTCCCGTACCGGGGCACGAACCCGTGTCCCCTGCATCGGCAGGCGGACTCTCAACCACTGCGCCACCAGGGAAGCCCTGCTTTCTCTTTTTCAACAGGATTTTTTTTTAATTTAATTTTATTTATTTCATTTGTGGCTGCATGTGGGCTTTCTCTAGTTGCGGCGAGCGGGGGCTACTCTTCGTCGCGGTGCGCGGGCTTCTCATTGCAGTGGCTTCTCTTGTTAGAGAGCACGGGCTCTAGGCGTGCGGGCTTCAGTGGTTGTGGCACGCGGGTTCAGGAGTTGTGGCTTGCAGGCTCTAGAGCACAGGCTCAGTAGTTGTGGCGCACAGGCTTAGCTGCTCCACGGCATGTGGGATCTTCCCGGACCAGGGATCGAACCTGTGTCCCCTGCATTGGCAGGCGATTCTTAACCACTGCGCCACCAGGGAAGTCCCTCTTCTCTGCTTTAATAAGATTAGGACATGTCTCTGAGTATCTAGCTCATCTGGCAGCCTGGTTGGTGGGTAGAAACTAATTCTAAGTATTTTCCCATGTAAGTAAATCAGGCTTCCGTAAAATATAACCAGAGAAACTGATGTTCATCATGCACTTTGTAGCAACCGGGACCTTGATCCTTTGGGCACAAGATGCGACCTCTGCTTTTATAGCTTTGCTCTCTGTCCACAGTTCTTTGGGTTATAGTGGTTGACTTGTTGATGGAGAAATTTATTTTAAGCTTTCTTAAAAAGTGTCTAAGTGTCTGGTGCCATACGTACAGATCCTCAGGTAGCCTTTCCCTGCCCTCTGGGAGTATTCCTCTTTGAGGGTGGCTACAAAATCATACCTAGTAATTTTTTCCACATGATACAATATGCTGTATTTGACCTACAGCAGCTCCATTACCCATACTTTTGCAGTGTTTTCCATTTCAGACTTAACTGGGAAGATTAGTTTAGCTGACAAGCTAGCTAACCTCTCACATTTTTCTGCCTAACTTTTTTCTTTCTCTGTCCCCCTTGGCTATTATTCTAAAATATAAGGCAGTAGAATGGAAATTCTGATATTAATAACTTAACATCAGCAAGTTAGCAAGACACAGAAATCCAACTCTTTTTTCCATTTTTGAAATCACTTTATCATTGTGTTATTTTTCCATGGTACCCGGAAGATTTTAAAGCACTTCCAGGTACCTTAGTGTCTCCCCAGACACACCCATCACACAGGTCCAGCAGGTATTATTATCAACCTTTATGGATGAGAAACAGCCTGAGTGACTTGTCCAGGATCAAGGTCACACAACCAGCAGGAGCCGGGTCATTTACACACAGACTTGCTTCCCGTTTAGAAATGTTTACGGCTGGTGATCCTGCCCGGCAGCGATTAGCCGCTTACCCATCGGGTACCTAGTAACTTGGCAAATGAGCCCTCAGCACGTCAGAATACTGTTGCTTTCATCACCATCTCACCCCTGGAAAGTTTCAGAGGCCACCGTGAACTTCAGTAAAACCCATCAGGTTAGCTGGTAACAGCGGCCCATGCTTTTCCTCAGCACCTACCTGACTTTGGCAAGGACATGTCTCTCAGACCATGTTGGCTAGAGGCAAAGGGTCAGTGATGAGTCGCACAGATTTCACCTAACAGAGGAATACAAGTCCTTGTATCGGTTTTGATGGTTATGGATCAGTTTTTAAAGATAAAAACTTACAGAAGTCAGCCATCAGGGCTTTAAAAATAATAAACGTTATTGTCTCTGGAGTTAAACCTGAGTTCCCACCCTGACTTTTTCAGCCCTGTGAACTTGGGCAAGTGGCTTAGGTGAGGATTAAATGAGATAACATCTGAGACCTGCATACTACCATTTCTGGCACATAAGTAAATGCTGAATAAGTGGAGAAGGCGGTGATGGGGATGGCGAGTGTTATTATTCCTTTTTGAGTCAACCCCTAAAACATAGAAACCTGAATAGAGGCGGCTGCTTCATTGGACCCTGGTGACTGACCTCTGTGTGACAGGGTGAGTCAGCTGTGGTTCCAGTGTTGAAAAATTATGTCTGCTTCCTGGGCATTTTTTTAAATTTTAGCCCTTTGCGCAGCTAGGAAAGGGTAAATCTATTGTAACCTGTGGGATGCCATTGACAAGGAGTAGAAATTGAGATATTAACTTAAACATTAGGACTTCTCTTTTTTCAACCCCACTTAATCCCCCTAAGTATCAAGCCATATGAGTAAATGAAAGTAGACCTGAAATTGGGTTGCATATGATCTAAGAATTTTCTTACTTACGCACAGAAGACAATAAGAGTAAATCAAAACAAGGCGTATATAAGCTGCCCCAAGAAAAAGTCTGCCGTCAGAAGGCCGAGGGCCGTGGTTTCCTTCCTCCGGCTCCTCAGCAGCTCACAGAAGCAACTGTCCTGGACACGGACCTGGATCAGCAAGCAAGGGCATTGTTTTTTAATTAAAAGAAAAACCTCCCCATATTTACTTTACCTACCTATAAAGTTTTTACCAGTCATACCCACTTTTATCAATACAGGAACCAATAAAGATCCCATTAATTAAACGGGAATCTGCATGGTAGTTAGAAAGAGCCTCGGGCTTTGGAATCAGGCAGATCTGAGGCAGGTGTTTTAGTTCTTTAATCCGTAGGCATTTCATCTTTATTTTTCATTTTATTTTATTTTATCTTTTTGGCCGCACCGTGCGGCATGCGAGATGTGCCTCGACCAGGGATCGAACCCGCACCCCCTGCAGGGGAAGCATGGAGTCTTAACCACTGGACCGCCAAGGAATTTCCCAGCATTTCGCCTTTAAAGTGGGATACGATAATAACACTTTTTAAAAAACTGCAGACAGTAATAGTTAACATTTATTATTTACTGTATGCTAAACACCATATATAAGTTTAATTCCTTATCACAACTCTATCAGGTAGATACTGTAATTACTGTCACTTTAAGATAAGAATCTGAGGCTTAGAGAGATGAATAAACTTGCCCAGGATCACACACCCAATAAGTCGTTGAACGGGAACCACAATTTCAACCCAGGCCATCATCAGCTGCTATAACTAATGTTCTTAACCACTCTCCTTTCCTACATTTAAATTAAAAATGGATTAAGTGAAATAATTTATGGCACCTGGTTCAGTGATGCACCCTCAGAAGGAAAAATCGTTTTTCTAGTAGCGGTAATAATGCAGAGTATGGCGATTTATGCACAGTCTTCTAATTCCCCTTTATGGGCAGTTAATAGGCATCAGTCAGGGTTAGGAGTGTGCTCTTTCATCTGTTTCAAGTAGAACCAAAGTAACTTTTTATGGAAAACATACGAAGAGTAACGTGTTAAACGGTCACAAACTTGACCATAATAGCTTTAGCTGTGATAATAAACCTAATAGAAAATTTCAGAGCAGCTTAAATTTGTATTATAATTTTGTGTTTGTGTTTGTCAGTGTATGTATTACATGACTTTATTTCAAACGCTGGCTCTTTTTACTTGTGGTATTTTCAGTAAAAAAATAAATAAGAAAATCTCTCGTTTATGTTAGTGGAATTGAAGGTTCATATAACCTTGTATAGAAGACAAGCCAAAATCCGTCTGTCGAACTTGGTAATATGTCTTTATGCTCTTATTGGAGTATGATCTGAGAAGACCCGGTAGAGTTTCACCGCAAAACGATGACATCACAGACTGTAGATAAAAAGGCCCAATACTGGGCCTTGAAGAGCCTGGGCTTTGGCAGTCAGACTGACCTGGTTTTTGGTCTCAGCTCTGCCACTTCTTAGTTACTCACCAGCCTCTCCTAACCTCTGACCCTCTGCTTCTTTCCGTCTCTCCCTCCTCCCATTCGACACCGGGAAGAGACCGCATCATTATGAAGTATGCTTTCCCTCTGTTTAAGAACAATAGTTTTTATACGTGCTCTAAGAATATTTTGGCTTAAAAGGCTTTCTCTTCTGCCTTCTCATAGGAAACACTGAGTGAAGACTAGTTTGTGTCATTTAAGATACATGGACTATGACAGTCCAGTTTCTTTACAGTAACCAATAATGCTGATAATCAACCCAGAGATAATTGGGATCTGTTTATAATGGAAAGCTCATACTTCTATAATGGAGCTCCCCGCGCCCCCCCCACCCCCCGTTTTTCTCCTGTTGGCTGATCACTTGTTTTATTTGAGCTAACATTGGCAATTGAGTGAGCTAACCTGGTGGTAAATGACATCAGCACACACTTGGTATTTAATGAGCGAGTCCGCTTGGTCCTTGTCAGGCCTGGCCGACAGCTCTGAGGGTGAGACCGTGGCTCCTGTT